GATCGTATCTCGAAAATTTCGTAACAAGGCGAATTCGTAAGTAGAGGTAAATTTTTGGGGCTGGAGTTGATCGTATCTCGAAAATTTCGTAAGTAGGGGCGTTCGTAAGTAGAGGTAAATTTTTGGGGCTGGAGTTGATCGTATCTCGAAAATTTCGTAAGTAGGGGCGTTCGTAAGTAGAGGTACCACTGTACAAGAGAAAAAGAGGAAGTTCCCTTTTGTCTCTCAAATACAGATATTCAATAATAATAGGCCAGGTGAGACACAGACACAATGAGACATCACCTTACCTAGGTCTTGCCCTTTGCCCTAGTGGTCAAAACAGCTCATAAATGCAAAGAAGTGGTACAGTCTCCAGCAAATAAACTCATACATATGAAATATTCCAGAATATATTCAGTATGCACGCTTTTTCACATGGAACCCTAGATGGAACTGAGTATGTTGAGTCTTACATTCAGCTTGCTTAAACTAAGACTACACATTGACACACATTTGGTGCTTCTCTGTAGCTGCACTTTAAAGCAGAACTTCAAGGTAGCCAAGAAGCTCTTTAACAATATTTGTCTAATGTTGTTATTAATAATCTCAGTGAGGAACACCTGTAAGTTTTCAGGAAATCCATGGTACATAATGGAGGTAGAAAGGCACCAAATTAAATCATTTGGATTCTACTTAGATTTATGAATATGGTTTGCCTTGCTATTAGTTATGATCAACAGATTGGAAAACATTTAAATGGTTTCTGAACAGCCACACTTATAATCCAGTAATTTTTAGTTACCTGCTTAGGAAAAAGATGAAAAGTAAAACTTTAGAGTGCTCTGATTTATTGAGTGGACAATGTAAATGGGTATCTTTTTCATACTATGTTGCATAATTTAATAAGTAAAATTTAGTCTCGAGGTTTTAAGTTTCAAGGGTTATTAAATATGTGTAGCTATCAGAAATTACATCCATTAATATCACAAAATGCATACTGAATTTCTATCCTGTTTTGTGATATTAATGGATGCACGAAATAAAATGCGCACAAAATAAAATGCACAAAATAAAATTAAAATGTATTGATTGATTGATTGATTGATTGATTATGTGCCATCAAGTTGGTGTCAACTCTTAGTGACCACATTGATTGATTTTCTCCAGGAGGATTTGTCCTCATCCTGGTTCTTCAGGTCTTCCAATAGTATACCCATTGCTACTATAATTAAGTCCATCCGCTTGCTGCTGGTCATCCTCTTCTTCTCTTTCCTTCCATCTTTCACAGCCTTTAGA